ACAGCGTCCCTTTTCAGCAGGAAGTAGCTAAGAGAATATGCTGTCCCCTTTTCCTTATGAATCAGGGTGAAGTCTCTCTCAGTGAGGAGTGATAGGGAACGGCAAGGGACACACTGACAAAGGAGATTAATCAGAACTGGCTTTGACAAACACTGTGGCCATGGGACAATTAAAACAGACTTTCAAGGGGGGGGGAAGAGGAACGAACTGGGGGGGAGGGTAGAGAAAATAGTGCAACAATGAATGAACGGAAACCCAAAATCTCTGTAAATGTCCATTAAAATTAATACAGCTTAATTATAAAAAAAGGTGTCAAGGTTTCATTTTGAGGGTTAAGATGCCCAAGCTATGACAGTTTCAATTGCCTTATAAGCATACATAAGGTTAACTACTAATAGCGAAAACCAGATTAAAAAAAATACCTATTTGATTTCTGATGCTGGTAAAGCATACTGAATAATATAACGTGGGGTATATAATAATGTAATAATGGGTTTTATAATCTAGGATTGTTGTCTTTTCATTTACTACTAAAACAAGTCATGCAATTTTTCCATTTTGAGACGGCAAATTCACATCAACATTAACTGCACTACTGTTTCAGACATTTCCATATTTAAAAGGCTATCAGTCACTGGAAACAAACATTTCAAAATTAGCCAGTTTGTGTGTTTTTCCCCAAATGTTTTTCCTTTGTTTTAAATTGCTCAAAATACAATTCAAGGTTTTCTCTGATGAGGAACCACATTTTGATTTCTTAGAAATTGCCAATACTCTTCTAAGTGCAACCCTTAGTAGCAATACCTTTGAATCCCACCTCCAGGACACCTTAACTTACCTTGTTACCATTAAGTAACTTAATAACAACAAAAAGTCCTTAAGGTTTTTAGCAGCAGTTCACCTGATGTTCACAGATGTTCAAGTTCTAACAAATACTCTTAAAACTATTTGCCATTTAATTTCAAAATTGTACATTGCAAATCAGCCACTTGGACCACTTTACAACTATAGAAATTCAGAAAACAGGGGAAAAATCAATAAAAAGAAATAAGCCAACATTAATCAATATTAAATTTTAAGATAAAATGGGTGATGCATCACACATTCAAGTGTATTTGAAATAAATGTTCTGGGCATTTCATTTATCATTAATTAATTAATGTAAATAAATTTCTGACTACATGTATATTACAGAATAAAAATAACCAGAGCGCATCTATTCTGAACTAATGTTCAAAGACAGTGATAGCATTATATTACTAGCGCAGAGTTCTGTATTTCTTCACACTAAAAGGAAACCTTCAAAGGAAATGTTTTGGAACAGTAACACAGTTGTAGACTACAGGTTAAATTAGTAGCTGGCAGTGAAACCAGAAGAAACATTTAATATAGGGGAAGTCATCAACCATAAACCCTGTTTACCATATAGAGATTGAGCAGTTAATTATTTTTTGTTTTGTTTTGGTTTTTTGTTGTTTTTTTTTTTTTTTTTCAGTTGAATCTGCTTTGAAATCTAACTGTTCAGTGTGGAATTTAAAGATGGGATGTAGACAAGAATATAAGATTCTAAATGGACCTAATTCAAATCTTCACTATTTTGGAATATCTTAAATATGAAATAGGGAATATTTCCAATTACAAACTATCTGTAAAGAAATCTTTTTATGACCAACAGAAAGAAGTAACACTGAGTATAACTGAAAAATGTCCATAAAAAATACTCTTAAAACCATTTGCCATTTAATATCAAAATTATACACTGCAAATCAGTCACTTGGACTACTTTTCAAATATAGAAATTCAGAAAATAGGAGAAAAACAAATAAAACAAAAAAGCCAACATTAATCAGTATTAAAGACATTGAAGATACTTAAGAGTCTCATATCAAAACATACCATTAGAAACAAATGACAACATTAGGCATCTAAGAATTACTATGTATTTCCTTATATGGTTCCAAATATGCACTTTTCCTTAGTGGGAAAATAATCGTTCTTGTCCACTGAAATAATAAAACATGAGTAGACACTATGGCAAGATGAATATGTTCTCAAATAATTCAGACAGTATGTCCATAGTATCATCCACTCTCCTCCAAAATTAGAAATAAACCACAGGAAAAACATCAATTTTTGTGTTTCTAAAACATTTCCGTTTCTAAGACATTTGACCATCTAAAATGTTTCAGTATTTTTTTTCAATTTGGAGATTAGTATAAAGTTAATAATTATCATTAATAATACATAGGAAAAGCTATAATATTGAGAATAAAAATGTACATCTAAAAATAGTAAAAATATATTAAAGACCATAACTCATTTTTTCTTTTCTAAATATTTGGGAGAGGGAAATGAATAATGAATACATAATTAATTTAGGTCTCTGTCACGTTAAGAAGTCAATGCATGCTTTCAAATGAAATAATCTGTTCAAGAGACATTCAGATAAGATAGTCCTGATTATTACTGTATCAAATTTAAAACCAAAATCAAAACTCTATACCAAGCACAGCAATACTCAACAGAATATTCAGCAGCTACACATATTCTGGATGAGAAAATAAACTTGTTTCTCTAAGGCTATTGCAAGCCACAGGCAATTTTACAGCATTGTAAAAAAGACAAGTAGACGACGAAGAAATTTGTCCCGAGACTAACTCTTCTTTAGTAAGGCCCTTTCACAGTTCTATAAAGCCAAAGTGGAAGAACATTCCTCAACAGCAGAAAGGATACCTTCACCTTTTCATTTCAAATCTTAAAATAAACTTAAAACTTTAATATCTTAAAATCAACTTTGCCCTTGGGCACCAAACTTGAGAATATTCACAGAATATCTTGAAAATATCTCAAGGTTCAGCAATTATCAGACAGTAAAAAAAAAAAAAAATAGAGCAGCAAGACAGAAAAAAATAAGTTAAAAGAAACTACCATGCATATCATAGATTTGAGGTAGAAAAAAGAGAGGGAGAGAGCGCAAGAGAGAGAGAGGACTTCTTACCAAGTACCCCAAGTCGATAGTTGACTGTGATGACGATTACATTGCCATAACTTGCCAAGACACTCCCATCATATAAATTTCCAGTACCTTCCATATACGAACCACCGTGAATATACACCATCACCGGTTTAGGACCCCCACTGTCCCGAATATCTGAAAAACAAATAGTTGGCAATTGTTCTTATCCTCATAAAATACAAAAGGCAGCAGAGAATACATTTTCTACTGTGGGGACAAGAGGGCATGATAATAGTAGTTTAAATTGCTGCTTTTACAAAGCGTTTCTTAAGCAATTCAAATTAATAGATATTGGAGAAGAGACCAGTGGACATCTATAGTTTTCAACTTAATAATTTAAATGAAGTATTTACAAATTACATATTGAATTATGAAACTGAAAGCATTAAGAAGAGGTATAAACTTTAGTGCTTATTCAGTGATTCTTTAAGTGACAGTAAAATAATAGAAAGCCATTACTTTTTAGAGATGTTTTAGGCCTTTCCTGGAATTTAAGAACTTATAAAATAAATGTGTTGATACCACTGTTTAGTTAATAAAGCAAGCTGGGTTGGTTTTGGTTTGTTGTGGGTTTTATTTCAATTTCTCGTTTTTGTAAAGGTTTACAGCAAAGGTTGCATGATCATATGAAATCATTTATGCATATTTAGTACAAGAAGTCTCATTTCACTACTTAAGGACTGTTCAGATGAATGTTTAGGCAGTGGGGTCATAAAAATTTATGTTCCTAAGGTTGCATTTCAGGACTACAACTTAAAGGGTGCGGTCATTTAATCATTTCACATACTTTTATCATTTGGGAATAGAGGACAGACTAAATTTTATTCTTCCATTCAGTGTATTTAACTCTTCTCATTTCCACTTTGACTACATATTTTTAAGTTGGAAACATGAGGAAAAACAGACAGGTAAAGTGGAAAGGGCTGGAAATTAGAGTGTGTTAAAGTACTTTCTACAACTCCCAATTTAATGTAATGTATTTGTTTTACTAAGATACTCTCCACTTCCTAATAGTTAGCTCAATAAGGATCTGGGGAAAAAACATGTGGAAAAGGTGTAATCATTTTATACAATATTGGATTATTACTAATTTCTATCAAATATTCATAATTATTTCAGCAAATTTAGTTTAAGTAGAATGGAGATTGAAATACGACATATCATAAATATGGCTAATAAAATTTTAAAGATAATAACTGATATAATGATAATTATAATAGCTTATCTCATAATCTCCTTATATTCATAAATGAAAAAAATCAGTATATTTTTTTTTAAATGCCACTATTGAAAATTATTTTGCAAGCTTGCTTATTTTGTCTTCATGGCTTTTTTAATTTTCTTTCAAACTTAATTTTCCTGTATCTTTATGATTGAAGTGTTAGCTTTCAAATTGTACTAATACAACACAAACTTACTGAAAAAAAGTATTAATTAGTAGTAGCCCTACTGGTATTATTAACACAAAGACCAATGACAAAGACATTGTGAGGAAAGATTAAATACCAAACAATAGATTCCAGAAGCTCTTTTGAAGGTTATCTCCTGATTTTTCTTTGAAGAAATAGACTTGATAGGATTACTGAGAGTTTGGTTAGGCTTTTAATTTTCAATTTGTCTCTTCCAACTTTCAAAAGATGTTCACTCTTACCTAAGAATTTAATATGCTAAGTAATTCATCTCCTGAAATTTTTTTAATCTAATGATGTTCTGAAAATTTTCATTTTTCTCTTAAAGGAAACCTCTTGTGATAAATAGATGTCTTAAGGATTATTAACTATTAAAGTAAAACTGTTTTTTGAGTGGTTTCTCCTTTAATAATGAACTGATTTGTTGACATATTGTTTTCGGATCAAGAATTATACTCAACTTAGTTATTCAAACTTTCAAGTTAGGTAAACCTAGAGATAACTTTAGAAACATTTTAAAGTTGCTTTATTAACCCACTCCCTCCTCTTTCAATTTAAGCTCCCTCCTCTGCCAGAGTGTTTAGATGAGAAATGTATCATGTTTTAAGTTAATGGTACATGCTTTGATACAGACACTGCCAAGAAACATAGGTACATTTGGGAAGGAACTGTAAATGTATCTTCTAGAAATTTGGGAGGGAAAATGGCTCCTTTATAACAATTTGGGGACTCGTGGGTACATTAGACAAAAGATATTTTAAAGGTCAATCAAACCATATACCTTAAATTCCTGTTTGTTACACGCCTTTTAGTATCTTCTTTTTCAACTATGGCTGGCACTGAAGAGGCAGTAATAAATTATTAAAGTGAAATCATTAACTGACTGTTCACAGCAGACACTGTACTCTGCTAATTGTATGCTTCGAGGTGGCACAGAGGGAGGCTGTTTCAGAATTCTTCTTTAATTAAAATTACATAGAATTACAAAGCACCAACTGTGAACAGTAATGAAATCTTGGTAGAACCATTCTGTTCACCTGCAAACAATACAGGCCAGCATTGGGAAGACCTGCCACGTTTTATACCAAATAGAACAATGACAAAGACATTGTGAGGAAAGAATAAATATCGAACAATAGATTCCAGAAGCTCTTTTGAAGGTTATCTCCTGATTTTTCTTAGAAGAAATAGACTTGATAGGATTACTGAGAGTTTGGTTAGGCTTTTAATTTTCAGTTTGTCTCTTGCAACTTTCAAAAGATGTTCAGTCTTACCTGAGAATTTAATATACTAAGCAATTGATCTCCTGAAATTTTTTTGAAATCTAATGATGTTCTGAAAATTTTCATTTTTCTCTTAAAGGAAATCTCTTGTGATAAATAGATGTCTTAAGGAATATTAATTATTTAAGTAAGTAAAACTGCTTTTTATGTAAGAACCCTAAATATTGCTAAGAAACTTTGGGGATAACTAAATTTGTGCAATAGAACTCTGTGATGCTATCTTATCAGAAAGATTCATATTATTTTGTTTTTGATAGTGTTTTATCTAAAAGTTCATTTTAGAGTTTATTTTTCTGCGTCCTAATGGATTTTTCTTGATACCACTAGAAAATAAAAAGGAGCCCAAGTGCAGTTGGGTATAACATGTCAGGCTGCTTGCTGGAAGGTGGGTGGTTCATAGCCACCAGCCACAACTTGAGGGAAGGATGGGTAATCTCCTCTTACAAGGTTTTATGGTCATGGAAACCCAACTATGAGCTGCTGTGAGTTGGAATCTACTCAGAGGTGATGGTGTTCTTTTACTTTGTTTTGTTTTTAGCAGTAAATAGATGAAGTTTAAATATATATATGTATATATTTTAAAATATATATTTAAATATATGTTTTTAAATACACACACACACATATATATATATATATATATATGTATATATATATAAACTAGAATCTTTAAAAAAAAATGAACTAGGAGCTTTGGTGGGCTAGTAGCAAGACACTGAGCTACAATCCCAAAGGAAACAGTCTCCGTGGGAGAAGGATGGCAGCCTCCTCCTCTGTGATAACTGCTTCTGAAAACTTGCTGGAGGGTCAGCTATGGGTTGATTCTGTCTCTAGCATCCAAAACAACAACAAAAATATGTATAAACAGAATCTGTATATTAGATAGCCTACTGTTCACTTGAGGAATACTGAGGGCACAGTACTTCAGTGCTTGTCTATTAACTGAAAGTTCGATGGTTCAAAACTACCAGGTGACCAGCTAATGACATAAAGCTGTAAATATTTTCCACTTCGGGAATGAAATGGTGGCATTCTGTCCAAGAGATTCACGATGACTAGGGATTCAACTTGACAGAAGCAGGTAAAATGAGAACCATTGAACAAGATACAACAAGATATATCATTTAGTAATAACATCTATGGCAGAAGGACACAATTGTATTTCTAGTGAAAAAGATATTAAGTATCTTTTACTTATCCTTGCTGTTGTTGTTGTTGTTGCTGATTGCCTTTGAGTTGAGCAAGCTCATAGCGACCCCAAACGAAAGGCCTGGATTTATTTATTAGTGTCATTGTTGACTGACTTCAGTTAAGTATCTCCACTTAATCGAAACAGCATCTACTCATTTCACTAAAATAATAAAAATCCTCAAATACATTTAAAGACTGACAAATTCCAATATCAATATAATTCAAACATTCATAAAATATTTTCAAATGTTTTGGTTAGCTGCAGAGTTTCTTTATGCGTTGGTCAGCATGCAAGTCTCTGTAAATTTAGGGAACCAGGAAAGAGAAACACTGCTTTAATGAATGCTTTTCCTTGCTTTAATGAATGCTTTTCCTTGAAAATGCTCATGATAAAACTGTTGTCTTGTTCTGAGAATCCAAATTTTCAGCAGATGTAGCAAGTGTCAGTGGCTCTGAAGCAGTTAGGAGGCATTAGTCTGGGACAGACAATCAGGCTTTAGATGCCCCTTTGTCTTTCCTGACACTTGGCGGGGGTGTCATATGCCTTTCAGTGGATAATGACCCATAGCTGACCCTCCAGCAGCTTTTCAAAGACAGTAAATCCCAGGGAGGAGATTGTATCCTTTACCCACCGAGCAGCTGGATTTGAGCCACTCACCTTTGGGACTGCAGTGAAGTTTCTTTAGGCCATCAGAACTTCCTAAACAGTTAATTGACTGATTACTTGATTAAAGACACAGTAATAATTCTTAGTCACATAACTCGTTAAATGTGCCTGCCAGTTTCTTTTCATAGGAAGCATGGTTTTAACTGTACATGTTGCAAACTTGCAAGCTTTTCTAAATTTAAGGTTTTTGTTTTGTGAAAGACTGCTTCCATTAAATCCTTCTCTGATATCAAAAGACGTTCTGAGATAGTTTAATCTCAGTTATAGTTTAAAATCATCAAGAGAAATGTGGTCCAATGTGGGCTTATTAAACTGAATATAGCATAATTAAGGATACATTTTTAGTTTAAAAGTATATAAAAACATACAAGAGCAAATAGGTGGAGAAAAAGAACTCATAGCAAACGTCTGTGTTGGAAGCTATATCCCAGGGTAATTTGATAATATGACTGGCTGCTAATCTAAAGGCTACAAGTTGGGTCTATCGAGAGTGACCTGGAAAAAGGCCCAAGGACACATTTCTGAAAAAGCAGCTATTGGAAACGCTATGGAGCTCAATGCTACCCAGATAGAGTGGGTTTACCA